TTCTACATTTGCTTGAAACAAGGTCTTTACATTTTTTTAATTGCATTTCTATTTCTTTATTTTGTGTACTTGTGTGTGCCACAGCACTCATACAGAAGTCAGAGGACAACTTACAGGTATCAGCTCTTTCCATCATATGGGTCCTAGGTATCAAACTCAGGTCATCAATCTTGGCAGCAGGCACTCTTAACCATGGAACCATCTCACCAGCTCTGAAACAGGGTCTTGTTTTGTAGACAAGGCTGGCCATGAACTTACTTTATAGCCAAGGCTGGCCTTAATTGATCTTCCTGCCTCAATCTACCAAGTGCTACAAGGCCCATACCATCACACCCAGTTAGCCAAATTAGTGAATTTTAGTCTACTAATAGCAAGTGACCCTGGAGTCTTGATTTGGTCTCCTCAGTTAAAGGTCTAGCCTTCTCTCTTGAAAATTCAGGCCTCCCACATGGCTCCAGAGAATTGGCCCTTTACTCTCAAGTCGTGCTCTTCAATCTCCTTCCTTTTATCTTCCTAGGGGAGAGCAGAGTGTAGTGCAGAGACGGGACAGATTAGCCACCTTTCCCTCTCTCCACCCTTCCCCAGAGGCCTTTTTCCCTGCTCCATCCTACCACACTTCCAGATCTCTACTAGCAACTTTGGATCCTGTCTCCACACCTCACCCCAACCCAACGCCCACCATGCTTATCGTGACTTGCTGTCTCTACCTCCTCATGACCCCCATTCTTCAATCCTCTCTGGTCACCCCAGCCTTAGCACCATCAGGGGATTCTCTCCCTTAGTACCCCCCTTAGACTTCCACGTAGATAGATACACAGGTGTTGCCTTCTTAGGAGCAGCTGGACCAGGAATCTCTTCCCTCTTGAAACACTCTCTCCGGTTTCTAATCAGTTGCCAGCTACTCCCTCTGTTCCCTCAGCCAACTCCTCCCCACCTTCCTAGTATCTTAAATAAACTGTGCTGGGCTCAGACCTGAGTTCACCTCTGCTCATCTTCATGTATTCTCCATGTGGCCTCATTCAGCCTTTGGCCCCTGGATATTAACTGTGTACTTACAACTGCCAAGTAGCCATCATTACCTGGTGGTTTGGAGTAGCTCTGCTGTGTACATCCCTCTGCTGAGTTCCCAATCTAACCTTGTCTCTACCATCCTTACACTTCTTTTTGGAGATCCAAAAAGCCCCTAAAAGGAAGCCACAGCCAATGAGATAGATCTGAACCTCTCTGTTCCTCCCCATCTCCCAAAACTTCTCAACAAATGTACCATAACCCATTCAGTTTTCCAAGCCAAACTCTGGAGTCCTCAAAACGTTCTCTCTCCTCCTCCCAATCTTCTGGTCTACTGTAGCACCTTTGTCCCGAGCACCCTCAACCCATCTCCATCCTCACTACCCACCTTCCATCCGAGTCCCAGGTGCTTAAAGACTCCCAGGTCCACTCATAATCTCTCATTACAAAATATTACCTCCAGCCCAGGCACAGGCAAAGACTGTCTAAAACACAGATCAGACCATGCCATTCCTCCACTTCAAACTTCGGTGTCCTCTGACAGTCCTGGTGCACCCAGTCTCCTGCAAGGCCTGAAGGGCCCATATGTTTCAGTCACTGCATACCACCGCAGGCCCCTACTCCCAATACCCATTCTTCCCCACAAGTCCTGGCTTCCTTCCCCATCACAGGATCTTTGTTTTCCTGTTCCCCTTTCTTGGCTCCTGTCCATTGCTCTGTCTCAGCTCCACTTCCCTACCTTCACACCTTCACACTCTCATCCACAACCCCTCCTTTATGGCCTTCCTGTCCCTTATCAGGACCCTGACTATTGTTGTGTGCAGTTTTTTTTTTTCTTCTACCACAGGAATGTTAGGACAAACACCAGCAAGTGGCAGAGCCTTCCAAGAAGACAGCATGCTCAGTTACTGCCTTGTTGCGCCCTTTTGTAAAACTACTTAGAGACACTACTCACTAACAGGTGATGAAGACACACGTATGTCCTGTCATCTGCCACAATCACCATCACTACCACTCCCATCACCACCACACACACAATTAGTTCGGGCTCTGGTCACATCTAGCTTCTCACCATGCATTTCACCCCTCTATCCAGAAGAATTACTATGGCTTCTGCCTGCCTTTCCTATCCCATTTTCTTTTCTGGCCAGACTCTATACTACCTGAAGGGCTGACCCCATGAGTTCTTCCTTGGAATATCTTTCCTGATGCCCAAAAACAGATCATGGCCTTTTGTACTTTCCATACCACAACACATTCATTTGTTTACAAGTCCTTCTTATTGACTAGGTCCTCAGGGAAGCTCAAGGATGGGGACTTTCCCCTTAATGTGATGCAGGTTGTCATAGAGAGATACCTATAGCATATATCTAGGAGCCAAAGGCCAAAGTCTGCCATAACCATAAGCAAGAGGGAGGGCTCAGAGACGGCAGAGTGACATGAAAGCTTGAGGCACAGCAGGTGTTTCCAGTGGGCATCCCAGACAGAAAGAGCGGGTAGTCAGGTGCAGAGGCATGACTCAAATGGGAGTACAAGCTGTCCTCCAAGCAGAGGGTAAAGTGCAAGGGGCACTTTAAGAAGAGTCTCATCTGCAGTAATGAAAGTTGCAGTTTCATCCTAAAACTGATAGGTTTTTGGGTAGAGAAAGTGATCAAATTCCCATTCAAGAAAGATCCCCATCCATCCACAACCAAGAGAGAGCATTAGTAAGAAGGGTGGAGGTGGGGGGCCAAGTTAGGGCCTTCTGTTGCAGTCAGAGGCAGAGAATTTAATAGAGTCTGAAAGAGACAGTCAAGGAGGGGAAAGGAAGGCATCTGCCATGTGCTGAGGAGGTGGTTCCCACAGAGGAGGTGATGAGCCTGGTGTGGGGTCTGAGGAAGGACTCAGGAAGGACTCCAGCTCCCTATTGAGACACGCCAAGGTGGGACCATGGCAAAAGGGGTTGAGTTGTTTGGAAGGTGGTAATGAATTGCATTCTGAAGTGGCTGGGACCCTCCAAGTGTATTCTAGCACCTGGCAAGAAGCTGAGGAATGCATGGATGCATGGATGCACGAGTGGATGAAGTGAGGTTTCCAAGCTCTCGTGGCTTCACAATTCCAGGGAAATACTCTCTGAGTCTGGCTTCCTTCCCCTCCCTTCCAAGCCCCAGCTCCTCGAGTCTCAGCCAGGATTGTTTGGGTACCTGGAGCTGTCTTTGGGCAGAAGCACCATTACCTCTCCCCAGGGGTTAGTGGCCATGCCTCTCTGTCCTTTATAATGCCCTCCTTTCTCAGAAGCTTCACTCTAGCAGATTTCCACAATTCCTGACACTAAAAATCTCCAGTCCCGGTCACTAATGTGTTCCAGCTACTAAGGGCTCCTGTCTAAGGAGATCTGCAGTCTTCAAGGGCACCCTTAAAAGATCTGTGGCATTCAAGGTACTGAGGGTGTCAGATGTCACTCATCTCTCTCTGTCCAAAGATATTAGCTAGGCCTCTGTTGTAGGGTGAGCCTACCTCACCCGTCTCCAGGTCTCCTATGAGAGTCTCTTGCTTGCTTGAAGTGACTAGGGGAAGAGGCCTTCCAGAAGTATAGGGCCAGGTCTGAGTTGGACAGACCAGTGAGGTCCTGGCTCAGCCTCTAAGCCAGGGCTGAGAGTGGAATATGACTGTGGCTTTGATGGTATTGGAGCTGAGCTTGGGAAGATAATGAAGAACAGGCTGTGCGGCCCTAGAAAGAGATCTGTGAGGCTGAGACGTAGCAAACAGAAGATCCAGGGAGGCCTAGAGGGTTAGTTCACACAGGATTACAGGTAGGAGCTGATCTAATAGGTAGTTTGACCTCCAGGCCCCAGAAATTGGCTGTCCAATGAACTTTCCTGGGGGCCCACACCAGTCCAGATAAGGGAGGCTCAACTGGTTGAATCCCTGGACTCTAGGCCAGCAGGGCAGTGCTGGCTGAGTAGTAGGAGGCAGGCCATCATCTCCTGGCAGGTCCTGGGGAAGCCAGGGACAGAGTACAGACTGCAGGCTGAAATTTCACACTCTATAGAAGTCTCTACCACAGATCCTAACCCAGCAGAAGACTCAGTTCCCACGAGTGTCCCTGCCAGTTCCCTTCCCTCTCTTCCCACCTTACTCCTTTGGTGTTTCTTTATGCCTGGTCTCCACTTTGGCCTGAATGCCCAGGAGGCAAAGATCCTGGCCTGTCCTAGTATCCAGGGAGGCTTTTAAATAAAACAAGGTACAAGGACTGGGCAGGTCGTTGAACAGGGACAAGAGGAGACCTTGTTTTCCCATCTTTGCCTAAGGTATCCACTAGGGACTTGGAGGCATAGGGTGAGGTGAGAAAGGAAGGACAAGAATCAGTGGGGGGAGGGCTCATGCTGAGAGGTAGGAGACGGAAGACAGGATTGAGGAGGATGAGCCCTGAAAGAAACCTCAGCCATCCCTGCCCTGCCCAGTGGTAGCCTGGACCCCTATACTCATCTTCTCTGTCAGGCAATGACCCACTCACAGATACCACCTGGGCATACATGATCCCATGCCCATGAGTGACAGCTCACATGCATAAAATACACAGGCTAGCCCACAGCTTCCCCTGAGCCTCAAGTCCATGTCCTGCTGACCTGCCCCCATCACAGAAACCAGGCTCTTGAGACCGTGAGCACCTTCTCTTGTTTCTGGCCCTAGCACTTGATGCTAACCCAGGGCTCCAGAGGAGGGTATGCAAAGGCCTGAAAGATGGGGGTGGGAGGGACACACTCAAGGCCAGAGGTCAGCAAGGAAGAAACTAGGAAGTAGAGGTCTCTGGCCAAGCTCTGGCACCTTTCAGCACAGGCACTTCCTCGGACTACTTCAGTGCTAGGCAGGTGGTGGCCTGGGAGGCCTCCCCACCCACCAGAGTCCAAAGACCATAGGTGTGGCTGCTTCCGGGCGGGTTTGCTCACCCTCAGTCCTCCTGATTGCCTGTAGGGCTCTGCCTGAGGCAGCCAGCAGAAGAGCCAAGAGGTACTCCCTCTACCAATACCAGACCATCTGCTTAAACATCAGCCTCCTCAGGAGACCAGACACCACGCCTCACTGGCACCCAGGTAAGGGCCTAACCCTAGGGGCTATCAGGGAATAGCTTGGCCACAGGGGATCCCCAGGGTGAATGTGGGCATCTCTGTGGTTTCCCAGGTTGGGGCCTCTCCCAGCCTCTTCCCAAATTGAGGCAGCAGGATCAGGTCATTTGCTGTGGGCCAAGAAACAGAGCAAGGGGCTCCAGAAAGTTCTCAGAGATGCTTTCCCCGGGGTCTGCCATGTAGATACCCCTTCCCTGCTCTACACCCCTACACAGGGGACACAAAAATCCACATAAGGCTGTGGCAGCTCCCTGTACTCTAAAGGACCAGGCAGGTCAAACTCTCCAGAGCCAAACTGCATCCAGTGTCCCGCACCAGCAGGTGTTTAACCATACCTGCACCAGTGCACAGGAACCTGCAGACCTACAGGGACCATCTGATATGGAAGAGCAGGGCAGGACTGAGCAGAGCAGGGTTCCTGTTTCTTCCACCTAGAAGCAGGAAGTGAGTGACACAGCCTAGGGAGAGGATCCTCGAGGGGCAGAGGAGGGGATCAGGCTTCCAGCACCTCTTCCCCTTAATGAGAAAAGGGGTTCTCCTAAGCAAGGGAACAAAGATCCAACTGCCTTCTCCACGTTCCCATGGTAGCTCACTGGCGTTCATTTTCCCATCTGTGAGTCACCTTATCAGATCTTTGTCATTTTCATAACAGTCCTAATAAATGGGTGTGAGTGCTCACTTATGTTTTGCTCAGGATATTCCAGGATTACATACAACTTAAACATGCCAATTAGATGCATGGAGACACATAAAACCATAATGCATACATGCACATAACACATACCCTTGACCCACATGCATGATTACTATCCCACCCCCACACACAGCACATATGCATGTACCACTTTTAATTATTCTTCAACAGCTGTGTGTTCTAGGCCCCTCTGCTGTTCACCACCTAGTGACAGGGACACATTTATAAGCCAGACAGGTCTAACACATTCTCTAGTAAACCATCATGGTGACCTCAGGGTATCAGAGTCCTCATCTGGGAAGCGGAATTAACAGTCCTTAATTCAGGGGTTTGTTCTGAGAATTAACTGGGTTACTAAAGGCATGGTCCTTAAAACAGTGCTTAGCACTTTAGCACCAAGTAAGCTGAATGAATATCCTGGTGAAGACTGAATGAGGTAGAGTCAGAAGGGGGTTGGTAGCAGGGTCAGAGTACTATCAAGGCTGTTGTGACTGCTACTGCTGTCAGAGAGGAATAGAAAAGGCTAAAAATAACATTGGGGGGGGCACTCTGGGCAGGTGGTGGTTAAAAAGGGCTTTACCAGGGAGGTGATCTGTAAACTGGATTTAAAGGATTTACATGAGGAGGGGATCTAGGAGAGAATATGGAGAAACAGAAAGCAAAAAGGCTGTAGTGGTGGTCTGGCAAGTCCTACAGAGCCCCCTTCCTCTCTCTCCACATATACCATATACATATATATATATATATATATATATGGCAAATTATATAATTTGCCTGTCTCAGTCTCTGTCTCTGTCTGTCTCTTTCTCTCTCTCTCTCTCTCTCTCTCTCTCTCTCTCTCTCTCATTCACATACACTGCTCTTGAGAGGATCCTTAGCTAAGAAGTAACAGGAGCTTCCTCCCCGTTTGCAGAACTAAAGCAGAGCTGGACAAGAGGGTTTGCTGTAGCAGGGAGCACAACTGAGACCTCTGCCCTCCCCACAGAAATAGCTCATTCATGGCATCTTCATATCCAGACCCCAGAGTAGGATTTGAACACAGATCCAAATAATGGGAGGCCAACCATGATGTGACACTCTCTTCCCCAGGCCCTTCCTCCGCTGGCCCATGGCCTCCAAGCCTAATAGGAGGGAGGCTCCTGGTGCAGGACACTGGATGCAGTTTGGCTCTGGAGAGGCCTCCCGGAGCCAAGGGTTTGAGATCTGGTCCTAGAGCCTCATGTGAGAGCAATAGCAGCTGGGGCTTGTATTTCTCTCCCTTATTCTGATGACTGTCTCTGGTTCTTTGGGGTCTAAGGAAGCCATCCTTGGCAGCATCAACATGTCTCGGCCCAGCAGCAGAGCCATTTACTGTAAGTCTCTTGCCTCCCCTGCCCTTCTCAGCTCCCCACTGGCTGAGCTCCCTGAACCCCTCTCCTCTCATCTATTACTCCTCCAATTGCCCAAGCCTCACCTCACTCTTTTACTGCCTCCTGGCCCTGGCTTTGTACCCACAGTGCACCGGAAGGAGTATTCCCAGAACCTGACATCAGAACCTACGCTCCTGCAGCACAGGGTGGAGGTGAGTACTTCTGGGACCCAGGCAGTTTCCAACTAAAGCCAAAGGTTCCTATGCATCCACTGCTTTGCCAGAACATTAACACCCCTTCCTGTCCTTGCCATAGAAGCCAACAGACTAACCTGACAAAATTCTGTGGAATCAGATTCAACAAACCTGAGGCCTAAGCATTAGCTAAGTGCAGGGGAAGACAAGAAGGTGCTCTAGGGTTGGCAGAGAAGCCCTGCTAGAAGTGGTAGGGATGGATATCTGGTCCCTAGACCAGAGTCATATAGAACTATCCTACCAACCCCCTCTTGTTTTCCATCCTGCCTCCTGCCACACCCAATCTAGGGAGGTGCTCTTTGCTCGGGATTTCACATGGCTGGAGGAAGGGCTGCCACTGTGAGCACCAGTGTCATAATAGGTGTGGAGTAGCCTGGGCTTCCAGGTCAGGCTGAGCCACTGGAATGGAATCTCTAGCCCCTCCCAGGTAGAAAGCTGGCATTTTGAGATGCAGTTACCCAATCTGACATCAATACCACAGTAAAAGCAAGTCAGGAGCTACAAGCGGGAGGTCCCAAGAGCTTGCTCAGCTGGGTACATGATGGAGGACACTGCACATGGGGGCAGAAATCACTCCCACCCTGGCAGCCTCAGGTGTTAGGAGACAAGGAAACTCACAGGGCAGTGGATATGGGGCTCCCCAGCCGGAAACATTCAGCTTCTTTGTGGGGTGGGGCTGGGAACTGGCTTCACTTTGGTCTAACAGGCAAGAGCAAGAGCAGACACATTCAGGATGACGGGGTATCAGGCTCTGCTGAATGGCTGGCAATGTGGACACAGAGAGGAGCTGGACCTGAGCAAGGTTGGCTGCCTCCAGTGGCAGGAGGCAGTCTGCATCTCCCTGGCAGTAGACTGGGGCAGAGTTTGAGTGATTCAGGATGGTAGCATTTGGCTATAGGAAGGGAGGGGTCTCTAGAGGAAGGTGGTTAGACCAACGATGGAACTTACATCAGGTAAGGGCTTGAGGGGAGCCTGGGATTTCTACAGCTCTCTCTGTGCAAGAATCAGGAAGAAGTCACTTGACCTTGAGAGCCCTGTGACACTGGGTTAGAAGAGTAGGTAAAACATCTGGGTGAAGAAACAGCTTGAACAAAGGCAGGGGGACAGGCATGTGAGGTCGGGAAGGGTGAAGACCAGCCTGGGGACAAGAGCTCCTAAATGCAGCCTCGGAGGAGCACCGACAACTACCTTTGGAGTCCCAAAATCCTTCATGCAAGCCTTAGACCTAGAAGATCCGGTCAGAACCTGCCTTCTTCTGGCCTTCACATTGCCTACAAAGGTTGCTCTATTGAGAGCCTGTCACCTCCTCCAAAAGGGGAACCAAGGACAAACCTTCCTCCTCTGCTGCCTTTCTCTTGCCTGCTACTACCTGGGACCCTCTTTCCAAACCTTCCTCTCAGACCAGCCTCTTCCTCTCCCCTTAGCATTTGATGACATGTAAGCTGGGAACACAGAGAGTTCAGGAACCCAAGGATGCCCTGCAAAAGCTTCAGGAAATGGATTCACAGGGCCGAGTGTGGAGCCAAGACCTGATCCTGCAGGTCAGAGATGGCTGGATCCAGCTGTTGGACATTGAGACCAAGGTCAGCCTGCTCAGAAAACTCAGCAATGGGCCCTAGGTAACCCAGGTTGCTGAAGAGCAAGCCCAGGCCCTCCACCCACCTCTCCATGCCTCCCCACATCTAACACACACCCAACACTTGGGAGAGACAAAACAGTGACTGGGGACAGAGGCCTAAGAGTCAGGGTAGACATCCAGCCTCAGGCCACCAAAACCCAGGGGTGACCCCATCAAGAACTCCTAGGAAACAAATCTGGCTTTCAGTGACCTCACACTTGGACTTTCCACCTGGCCTAGGAGGAGCTGGACTCTTACCGTCTGGATAACATCAAGGTCATGGATGTGGCACTCAACACCTGTTCCTACAACTCCGTCTTGTCCATCACTGTTCAGGAGTCTGGTCTGCCAAGCACCAGCACTTTGCTTTTCCAGTGCCAGGAAGTGGGGGTGAGTGGCATGGGATCAGTAGTCAGGGGTGGAGTTTGGTGACCATCATACACACACACACACACACACACACACACACACACACACACACATGCATGACTGCTGCTTCTTCCAGGCAGAACAGCTGAGGACCAGCCTGCAGAGGGCCCTGGAGGAGGAGCTGGAACAAAGGTAGGTAGCATCTGCCCAGCCACCTGCAGGATCTCCCAGCTAAAATCTGGGGTCCAACAAGTGAAAGCTTAGAATTGAAAAAGGGCCAGACTATTGAAGAGCTTAGGGAAGATGTTGAAGACACTGGATCCTGTCCCCAGAGATTATGATAGGACCCAGGACAGCCCAGACAGATGAGGCAGAATGGAGTTAGGGAAGGCACAGGTAAAGACTAAGGGCCAGGAATGGGGTTCCTGGAGAGAGTGGTGTTGCCTATGAGCACTGGGGTGGGAATGTGGGCTAAGTCTGTCCCAACAACCTTGTCAAAGATATGTCTTTCACCATGTCCTTAGCAGACCTCAATTTGGAGGACCTCATCCAGGCCAGGCCAGATGGAGGGGACCTTCTTTGGAAAGGCCACTCCCTATACAACAGACACCTCCTCTGGAGCAGAGGTCCCTTCCAGAACAGCCCCACCATATGTTCTCAGAGCACAGTAAGTTTGAGTGTGAGGGTAGGTGGAGAAGAAAGTTTGGATCAAGTCAAAGAAGCTCTAGGCTCATGGTCCCCCAACTTCCATTGCAGGCATCCCCCTATCCCCAAGGCCTCTTACACACTACCCCAGTGCCAGAGAGCCCAGTGCCTTTTCTCTGTCTCCTCCTCCAAGGCGGACCCCATCTCCTGAGGACCCAGGGAGGGATGAGGTAACTACAGATGATCTCAGGCTTACTGGGACATTCTGGTCTTGGGGAAAAGGAGAATGCTCACCCTCAGGAGGCCAGGTTCCCAGGGTGGACAGGGAAGGCTTGGGCTGATGAAGAACAAACAGGCTTTGGATCCCAGGCTAGGACTGAGGTTTGGGCTTATGATGGGAGGGTAGTAAGGGGCAGGGTTGGGAGTTTTAGGGTTGGTCTAATTGCCCCTTCAAGGCCATGGGTTTTTTGGGGGGCCCAGGAGGTGCTGAATCATGTCCTAAGGGACATTGAGCTGTTCTCGGTAAAACTGAAGGAAAACCAGGGAAAGGCAAACCGTAAGAAGAGGAAACTTAGGAAAAAAAAGAGCAAGTCTCAGAAGGGTGAGTGATGAGGGCCAGGAGGGAGGAGCGGGGGTATCTTGAGATGATCCATGACCCTGCCTTACTCTGTCTCCCACAGGGATAACACAGGAAGAGTACATTGACTGCTACCAGAAGATCAAATTCAGCTTCAACCTACTGGTTGGTGGCTTCTGCCAGCTCTGGGTCCCTCTCCCCAAACTCCCTCTATGACCTGGTATCAGCCATCCCAAACCTTTCCCTTTTCCAGTTTCTCCTCCTCTGGGGACTTTTGGAGGCTCTAAGTCAAGGCACAAAACAATTATGGGGTGCTGGGGTCCTGATGAAGGGCTGCAGGGGGGAGTGTGGTAAACAACATTGCCCTGTGTCTCCAGGGGAAGCTGGCTTTCAGGCTACAAGAGACGAGCGCCCCTGAGTTTGTGCATCTTATCTTCCAAACCCTGCAATTCGTGAGTAGAGATCAGACAGGGTGGTAAAGGGGACAGGATAGAGTCAAGAAAGAGAAAAGGAAGGCATAGAGGCCAAGGGAGTGCCAGGGCAGAGGGTACTGTGGAGTTTACCCTTTATTCGACATGCCTGCTTCCTCAAGACCAAGACAGCATCCTGGTGTGCACAGCCTGCCCAACACATGTGATGGGCTAGTAAAGTAGCCAAGGACACCAGGGCTTTGAGGGAGATAGACAGGAGGCAAGGAAGCAGAGCTGGAGTCCCTGACCATTTCCTGCTCCCCTGTGGTCTAGATATGCTGACATCTTCCATTTCTACCTCCACCCTAGATCCTATCCCAGTGCCCTGAGGCTGGCCTTGCAAGCCAAGTGATCTCACCCCTCCTCACTCCCAAAGCCGTTGACCTGTTGCAGTCCTGTCTAAGCCCACCTGAGAGTAACCTCTGGCAGTCACTGGGCATGGCCTGGACCACCAGCCAGTAAGTGAAAATGAGGGGCATGAGTAAGATGCCATATCTTGGCCTTTTGCTACACTATCACAAGCCAGAAACATTTCCAGAGAACTTTGGGCCTCTATATGGAGCTCCCAACTTTCCATGAAATACTGCTTTTACCCACTATAAGGAAAGGCATTACCCAGAATAAAAGAACAATCCTTCCCAAGAAAGGAGCAATACCAAACTTCTGCTGAAATGTTTGCTCATTTTTGTCAGGGAAAAGGTAAAAACTTTGTCTCAGTTCAGCCCAGAATTTAAGTATGACTGGTATTAGGATGCCGCACCTCTAACATCAGTTAGTTAAATCCAGCAAGTTTCCAGATAGGAGCCAAGAAAGCAAGAAAGGCCAAGCTGGTATGACTGTGGCAGGGTAAGGGTTGGAGCCATCAGGAAGCTCACCAGGACAATTCACTGAGGTGTAAAGGAACAAGTCACAAAGACCACACAGCTGGGCCCCCCAGGTAAGCAGTCCCACCGTGTGTGTGGCAGAACAGTATTAAAGTGACAGGTGGGCAATGGTGAGAGAGGCATGTACGTCTCCAGTGTGGTTTCTATCAAGCATGGTTGGTTCTATTCTATGTTAGCAGGGGGTAGAGCTCTGGAAGATGGTTACATGAAGGTGGCAAAAGTAGACGTAGTTAGAAGGCAAAAAGAAATTGTAGAGTTAAAAGAAAACCCAAAGGCATAAGAATGCAAACTAAGAGAGAAGAGAAAGTCAGAGAAGTCAACAAGGAAGTAAGCCAGTTTTTCCCAGCAAGATCTTTGCCTAATGAGCAATTCTTTCCAGTTCAGTCCCATATAACGTTTTTGTTCGGTTTGCTTAAAGACATGAATTGATTCAATACAGCCTACCTATTGTGGCGGTAAAATACACGTAACACACAAATGTACCATTGTCAGTATATAATTCACCAGCATAGCAATGCTGTACATCCAGGACCATTGTCTATTTCCAGACCCTTTTCATCAGCCCAAACAAAAAGTCTGTACCTCTTAAACAATAATCTCCCATCTCCCCTGCCCTCACCCCCTAGCTACCTATATTTTATGTCCCCATAAATTTCCCTGTTCCAGGTACTCATGCAAGTGAAATCAGACAGGGTTCGTCTTTTTGTGGCCAGTTTATTTTATCAGCACATCCTCAAAGTTAATCCATGTTGTAGCACGTGCCAGAATTTCCTTCCTTTCATATGGTTGTGTCACATTTTGTTTATCCTTTATTCATCAGTGGACATTTGGATTGTTCATACCCCCAAATGAACTATTTTATATACTTTCTTGATTTGACCACTAAAATGAAATAATTTATAAATTCTGGACCTCTCATAACAGTGGACTAAAATACTGGATATCTGGTCTTAGAGCCTATTTCCTACATCTGTTCTGGGCTTACATCATCTGTGGGGATAGCTCTAATATCTGTCTGGTATTAGCAAGAGAGGAAAATAGTTTCTGCAGTGGACTCAAACAAGAAGACTTCAAATACTTTTAATTGAGTCACTTCAACTTTTTGTTTGTTTGTTTGTTTGTTTGTTTTGAGACATGGTCTCCCTGGAACTCCCTGGAACTATATAAACCAGGCTGGCTTTGATCTCACAGATATCTGCCTGTCTCCACCCCCTGAGTGCTGGGATTACTATGCCTGGCTTAGGCACTTTAACACTGAATATCCATGTTAGATATGTAATTTTGTTTCAAAACCCAGCCTTATTTTAAGAAGTTGAGACACAGTCAATAAAGTGCATGCTGCACAGGTATGAGGACCTGAGTTCAGATCCCTAGCACCCACAGAAAAGCCAAGCACAGCAGCATACATCTCTAACCCCAGTGTGGGGTGAAGGTAGAGGGTAGAGAAAAGAAAATCCCTGGAGCTCACTAGTTGGCCAGCCTAGCTAAACAGATGAACTTCAGGTTCGCTGAGAGACCCTGTTTCAAAAAATAAAGTAGAAAGAGATCAAGGAAGGTACTTGACTTTAACCTCTTGCTTCCATGTACAAAAACACGCATTCACACATGCATACTCCCATACCAATATGCACATACACCCCCCCTACACACATACACATACCACAGAATATTTTAGACATTAGAAAATTGAATTGACATATATACTTTTTTACCAATATCCATAAAGATGCCAGGTGCCAGAGCACCATAAAGGTGGTGCTTATCTTTAATCCCAGTGCTCAGGAAGCAGAGGCTGGTGGCTCTCTCTGAGTTCAAGGCCAGCCTGCTCTACATAGCAAGTTCCAGGCCATTCAGAGATACATAGTGAAACTCTGTCTCAAAAAAAGCAAAAATAATATCCATAAAGATACAAAACAATCCCTGTATTAATAAAATGGTAAACTTCTGATAAATAATACATTAAATCAGATATGCCTTTAGTTTCTAATTTCTTAAAATAACTAGAAATGAATAATAGATTGTAAAAAAAAACACAAAAATGGAATGGAAATGTAAAAGTCCTTAAAAGAATTCATTTCTGACAAATTGCATTTAGGGGCTTAATTTTAGACAGAACGACTAGAAGTTATAAGTAACACTAAATGCTGTGATAGTAGAGAAAGATGGGGACCACACAAGATTATTGGATTTGGCAATCAGGAGATGATCAGAAAAACTTTTCCCCTAGTGCTGGGGTCCAAACCCAGGGCCTTGCGTGTGCTAGGCAAGTGCTCTATAGCTGAGCTATGTAATGCCTCCCCAGCCTGACTGTCCAGATTTTAAGTGGACTAGCTTTCATTGAGTAGTGGCAGAGGTTGAAATCAAAGGTGAAAGAACATAGGCAGAACACATAAGTGCATTTCCAGGAAGCTTGGTAAAGAGGCGATCACAGGAAAATAGCTTAATTGAGCCGTAACACAGTTAACAGAAGGCCTGAGTATTTTTTAGGACAAAGAAAAAGCACCAACGAAGAAGATCTGGAAGAAGGAAGAGTTTATTCCTAGTAAAGAAACATGTATTAGCTACTGTCTGTACCATAGCTGTAGTACTAGAAAGACAACCCCCGAGAAGTTCAATGTAAGAAACAGACATGTGTGAATCATGTGCAGTGTGGGAGGGTATACCAAAATCACAGTGAATATTCACCTCTGCCCCAGCGAGGCAGGGAGAGGAACATCTCAAGGCAAGTGGGCATCCTCAGGAAGCTAAGCCTGGAGGCAATGAACAGCACAGCTCTGAGCCATAGGGGAGAGGGCAGCTGAGAGGCAAGTACCAGCCCCATCCTGGCATCAGTCAGAGTAGCCCCACTGGGATGAGTCTCCTTAGGTGTTCTTATGCTATTTAGCTAGAAAGGAAGAGACCTGCTTCTAGGACACTGCCAACAATTTGAAAAGTACTAAATGAACCAGGCATGGTGGCATAAGCCTATAATCCCAGCTACTCTGGTGGCTGAGGCAGAATTACAAGTCCAAGATCTTCCAGAGCTACAGAATGAGTTCAAGGCCAGCCTGGCGACTTAAAGAGAACCTGTCTCAAAACAAAACAAAAAAACACCAAACAAACAAAAACCAAAAACCATGGCTGATCTGACCCCCAAAAGAGTCTTCCAGCTTCTAAGCCTAATATTCTACCATTTTAATTCTAAACCTCAATGATGGTGATCAAGTGTTCACTGTGTTCCTAGGGAGGTGACACAGCTGCACTTTAGGACCAACGAAAGGCTAGTCCACAGATATCTGCACTGTGGAACTTGTTCCTACTTAGCTGTTGGCTCCTTTGTGGGTTTCCTATGGCCTTTCATCTCTGTCCGTGGGCCTTGTCCCCATTAGCTAGAAATCCCTGAGGCTAAGTCTTCTCACCTCCTCCCTTCTCCACATCCCACAGCCTGGTACAGATTGGCCATGGACTCAGCTTTTTTTCTCTCCCCAGGGTTGACTGGATAGGCGATGAGCCACCAATCTACCAACCCATGTTCTCTGATGGCTGGCAGCTTCCAGAGCTCTCCTCCATGGTAAGGGCTGCTTAGCACTGAGCTCTACATAGAGCTCTTCTAGTCCAGATCGCAGTCACATGACAACTAAGTGGTGGGTTTATGTGGGTCACCTGTTGGGGTGGTAGGCAGGGAACAAGAGGCAGCCATATGGGCCTGTGATGGTTTAAAGGTCCAACTCTAACTCACTTGTTTTCATTCCTTACAGCAACGCTTAGAACGTCAGGATTCTCTCTCCCTCCGGTATGCCATGAGTTTAGTGAGGACTGCGTGGTCTTGGGGAGGGAGGGAAAGCGCAAAACCCTTTTCATCTGTGAATCTCCACATCCCAGACCTTCTGTGCTCTCTTTTAGTCAGTGACAGATACACGCAAAGATATTTCTTTGCATATATTTTCACCCTACCTTGGATGAAAATGCAGTTTCTTACCTCCTAGGTTCCAATCGCCTTTTCACAAATGCCTCTGATTTCCCACAGTTCAGATATAAAGTGCTCAGAGGACAGCTCAGATATAGAAAATTGCTAAAAATGTTTTCAGAGATCAGTGATATTTCAAACCCCTCCTTTCTGCAAAAAATTCCTACCCCAATCTCCTCCTAAGATGGCTGCCATCAAACTTTATGGAAACCCCAAAGTCACCTCCAGACTGAAGCTAAGAGCTATCTAAGGCTCTTGGGGTTGGTGCAGGGCACAGTTCCCATTCTCCAGCTGTCCCCACTCTGTCTCTTATGCCAGAAATTCTGGGTTGAGGAGCAGTTTTCACTTTGCTGAGGATGAGACACACAACCATAGCCCTCGGCATGGGAATTCTGACTGCGGGCCCCCCAGCCCCAGACCTGTCAAGCCAGTCCTGAAGATGCAAGTCCTGTATGAATTTGAAGCGAGGAACCCCCAGGAACTGACTGTGGTCCAGGGAGAAGTGCTAGAGGTAAAGCCTGTGCTTAAAGCCAGAAAAGAAGGTGGCTGGTAGGAGCTACAGGTAGCCTAGAGTGGGTTCTGTGGTTATGGGGCTGCCAGGATGGGTAGCCTAAAGAGAGAGAGAAAGAAAGCAGGAAAGAACAGGAAGGGACAAAACCTTGGGGACAGAGGAGGACAGAGGCTCTTATAACTGACATGGTGACTCTTGGCAGGTTCTGGACCAGAGCAAGCGATGGTGGCTGGTGAAGAATGCGGCAGGACAGACTGGCTACATCCCCAGCAATATCCTAGAACCTCTGCAGATGGGAACCCCTGGAAGCCACAGCCAGTCTTCCTTTAGGGTACTACCCAGCCTAGGATACCCAGAAGCCCTGAGTCCTGGGTCAGAGGATGGGACAGAGAAGATTCAATAACAAGTGGAGGGATAGTCCTGGTTCAGTTTAATCAGTAGCACCGCCTGCTTCCTGGGTGCCAAGTTCATCACACGGCAAAGAATAAGTCAGGGTTCCTGCCACACCTGAAAAACCAGGAGCCCAGTGATTTGATGGGATCCCATAGAAAGGGCCCAATATGGAAGGTTGCATATGGTTGTGAGATGGGATGAACTCTGACTTGTAGTGTCCCTTGATTCTAGGCTCCAATGCTTCGACTTAGCTCAAAGCCTGAGGAGGTCACTGCCTGGCTGCAAGCAGAGAACTTCTCCACTGTGTGAGTGTCCAGCCCCATGAGGGGTGAGGGAAGAGCCTTGTCAAGGGCTCAGGTGGGAACCACAGACCCCCAGAGGCCTGGTCTCCATTGTACATGACAACTCCATCCTAGGCTATCTGTGTTGAGTGAAAGAAGATGAGAGGGATGATAGGGGCCTATGATAGGGGCATCAAGTCCAGAGACTTTATCATATTGAAGAAGAAAAGATCAGGGTAGTGAACTCTAGAAGGACCTGGGCTTTCGCCTCAGCCACCCATCCCAGAAAATTCTGTTCTACAACACTTTTGCCCTTGAACTTGGAAGTTCAGGAATTGAGGCCAAAACCAATTGGTTTAGTTTTGTACTTTCAGATACCTAATTCCTGTAACCTTAACTTTCCTTCTCTACACAAATACTAAGGCCCAGCATCCTTCGACCTCAACTCTGGTGTATCCCACCATTTTTATTCACAGCACTGTAAGGACTCTTGGGTCCCTGGTGGGGAGCCAGCTACTTCGCATGAGACCTGGGGAGCTTCAGATGCTGTGTCCACAAGAGGCCCCACGAATCCAAGCCCGGCTGGAGGCTGTCAGAAGAATGCTGGGGGTGAGGAAGCCCTAAGGTCTTGACTCCCACTAAGAAGGTTTAGTCTTCCCAGAATGAGAAAGGGAGAGCTGGGTGGACCAGGCCTGGGTGGAACTGAGCACAGACAACACTGGGCATAGGACATTTGTCCAGGGGTTCCGTTTCATGCATTTAGCTGTCCTTGAAGTTCCAAGCATACTGATGGCATGAACTCTGGGGCTCCCTCACTTGGAACCAGCCCCATTTGAATCCTTTTCTTCCTTCAGATAAGCCCTTAACACCAGCTCCAACATCTTCAAGACCAAGGACCTCTTATATGCAAGACGGATTATTTGGTACCCCCTTAGAGCCCTCTAAAGTCCTCTTTCAGCATCCTAGTTTGTGATTAACCAAATACCCCTGATCACACAGCAAAGAGGATAAAAAACCCTAGACACTGAGGCAAATGGTACCCCTCTTGCTGGGTTGGAAGCCCTCTCCAGTTGCTACCTATTTATTTCACTCCTCTCCCTAAGCTTGGCATATTTATAACTAGGCTTTCCAAGAGTCTCTTCAGTCCCTCTCCTATCCAATAAAAAGCATCTTTAAGACTGTCACATGCCTCCCTTACAGTTTCTTCTGGACCAGATGAGAACTAAAGGCAGGGGGCAGGAAGGCTGGGTCTCTGGGCATGAAACAGCAGCAACCCTGTAATCATTACTGGCCAGACTATCGGAATGAAAGAGAATTCACATTGCAAGTGGGAGCTGAGGGTCAGCCTCTGGGACTTACAGTCCACACTCTCCCTACTCTCTTTCTAAATAAACTCCCAAATGAAACAATGCTCACCATTGCTATCCTTCCATAAACATGTCTCCCAATCTAATCCAACGCTCCCAGCACAGCTGAGGACACAGCACATCACAGCAGCAAAGAGCTCTCTGCTGGCAGCTACTGGCTTTGATTGTCACACTGTCTGGTGATCCAAGGAAGCATTAAGGTACACCAGGCTCTCCCTGGAAACCTCCTCTTTCAATGCAACTTTTGTCCCTTGCTGTTAGGTCAGTCACTGGGAGTTCCTTTCCACCTGTTTCTGCAGTAGCAGAACACAGAAATATTGCACTGGAAAGTGAAAGTCCCTGGTCTGCTGTGTGAACTCCGGCAAGTCAGTCCACTCTGAATCTCTGTGCTCAGGCTAAGTGAAGAGTTTGGGCTGTCTGTAGCTTCTAGTATCTTTCGGTGTAGATAGAGTTTCAATCTCAAAGCTCATGGAATGAACTCCTGTCTCCACATAAGAGGAGCTGTGCTTTTGCTGATTTACTTTACAGATAAAGTTTGATGTTCTTGTGAATTCAAGGACCACTTGTAGTTAAGATGTTCCCTGAAATCTCTTTTAGCTGAATTTAACCATGACCTCCATATCAGCTGGAGCGGAGTGCCCTATTTTCAGTGTGTCTCTATCATTCAACTTACAAGCCTCCGAAAATCGTTTCTTGTAGCTGGTAACACAAACCAGGAAAGCAAAACTTTCCCCTCACAAAAGAGAAAAAAGGTGAAACTCTTTAAGAGTCTGACTTGTCAAGGGTAAATTTAACTGGAAAAGTTGGGAAGGAGGAAATATCGGGTTATCTCAGAGACAAAGGGGCCATAAAACCAGGGAAACCCTACAGGATTAGGGAAAAAAAAAAAAGTTGCATCCCCGTGTTCTCCAACCTCAAAGAAAAGGCCATAGCAGGGTTAGATGTTATAAAGCTATCCAAAGTGGAACTAGCAAAAGTAAAGTGTTAGACAGCCCTCAATGAACCCCAGATCTCCCACAGAATGTGTGCATCTTCTCCAGACTTCAGTTCCTTCTTCTATAAAATGAACATTAACACCTACATCACAGAGTTGTTTAGCCTGCATTGGAAGACGATAGCTAACACTGAGACACCTCTTCTATTGCCTGGCATGTCACAGTGCTCTGTAAGTGCTGGTCTCCTGCGTCAGGTTAATCTGTCACTGGCTTTTTGTTTTCTTATGAGGAAAACCTAGGCATTATAAATTCACATGTTCCTATTTCTTTTCTCTTTTTCTTTCTTTCTTTTTTTGTTTTTAGCAAAATGTTCTTTTATAAAGTCCCAGGCTTGCTTCAGCTAAATTAATGGAAAAGCATGATCTCCCACACCCAGGCTAGAACAGAGGCTAGAAGCCCTGAGTGGCTGTGCTGTGGAGGGTGGGCAGAGCAGCTCTGGACTCCCTGACTCCCACACCTCCACAATCAGCTCACAAATCCTATCTCCTCTGCTCAGCCTGGGCACTGTTACAAATCTGTGTTCATTTTCCAGGCTCACGGGCCCTGAATAAACATAGAAGCTTGGTTCTTCCCAGTACTGCAGGAGCCTCCCTCAAATCTCTTACTATTTCAAGGGCACCATGATGCCTATGTTGCTAAATGCAACTGTTAATTTTCAGGCTTCATTACATAGGACCTCTCAGCTACATTTGATGTAGTTGCTTACTTGGTCCTTCAAATTTCTTCATTTGCTTTCCAGGGCACCTTGTTCTGCTACCAACACCACACCAGCCACTCTTCAGACTCCTTTGCTGGTTCTTTCTCATTCCTCAGCTTCTAAGTGTCATGCCATGACACTCCAGGCCCAGTGCCCTCATCTCTTCTCTTTCTTATGGTGACCTCATCAGGTCTCATGGTTTCATATGCTTTCTCTTCAGTGATGTTTCCCTGTACTAGCTGCTTTTCTCTGGGGGCATTCTCTGCCTTCTGCACAGCACATAACTTGATCCCAGCAAACAATTCAGGCCTTTATTGAAAAGTTAATATCTCACTAGGCCCACCATGCACACATTGTTTGAGATTACAAACCTCTTTTCCTGCTGGAGCTCCTCCATTGGCCCTTACTCCGTCTCCCTACTGTTCTTTGCTGTTTCTCCTCATAGGATGTGTATCATTCTCTGATTTACTGAGTTTCTGCCTCTCCCCATTAGGATGTAAGTTTCCCTAGAGCAGGGACTTTCGTCCATTGATTTCAGTTCTAGGTCCTCAGCACCTAAAACAGTGCCTTTCCCAAATAGGCATGTTAATAAACACTGATGGATAGATGGATGAGGGAATGAAAAATGACAGGATTTCTTGCCCCCAACACACTCTACATAAAGAAGCTAGATCAGTTTCCCACAGAGGACTCTGGCAGTATCACTCACCTCAGCAAAGCATCCAGGTCTGTACTATACACAAAGTAGTCATGAACCATATGTGGCTGTTGAGCATATGAATGTGATTAGCCTTAATTGAGATGTGTTCTGAGTGTAAAATACACAGTTTGGGGGGCTGGAGAGACGGCTCAGCGGTTAAGAGCACTGACTGCTCTTACAAAGGACCTGGGTTTGGACCCACATGGCAGCTAAGAACCGTCCTTAATTCCAGTTCCAGGGGAATCCGAAGCCCTCTTCTGACTTCTGCAGCATTGCATGACACAGGTGCACTCACATACATGCAGGCAATATACTCATACACATAAAAATAATTTTCAAAATAAACTAAATAAATTAGAAACGGATTCCAATTATTGAAATGATTCATTCAAAAATAACTTTCTGGGGCAGGAGAGATGGCACAGCAGTTATGAGC